ATCAATTCATTTCGAAATCAGAAACGAAAAATTTGCTACTGTTTGGGCCATCACCAAACCGATCGATTTTATTGAGGAATATTGCGATAAGAAATTTCAATAAGTCTTTTTTTGATGGTGTGTATGAATGGATTTTTATGAATGGACTGTGGACATCGACTGTGGAACGGTTGAAAGGTGGTTCACATGAAATGTCTGCGATTCGAATAGAGTCAATGATCGAGAAATTCAATTGTTCAGATAAAATTTGAGTGAGGCGTAGCACTGATGACGGCAAATATCAAATGAATTTATTCATTTATGCAGAGAAAAGAACGAGTCTAAAGAAATTACTATAGTTGGTGAATCTACTTCATCTGCACCACTCTTCTGTTTTATCTACAACTACGTCAACTTCAAAGAGCACACTCGATACCGGCTGGATTGTTTCAATCGTGTTCATAATATCATTTGTGTTGATGCTGAGTGCTGCAATCGGTATATTTGTGTACTGCTACCTGGAAAGAAGAAGAGAAGAAAAAAACGCCCAACATCGCACCATCCAGAAATCCAACATCACCTTAATAAAGCCTCCATGGAAATTAAACAGTCAGCAGCATTAATTATACAAGTAACGCAACGAATCCAAGAGTTAATCCGCAAATATACTCGTGAACCACAGTGACCTTTTGATCAACGTCTTGTAAAATTAAGCTTTGTGAATATATTTTCTATACTAAAGGATCTCATAAGTTCTAATAAATCCTCCGACGCAGGTGCATTTACGTATAATCAATCCATGAATATGATGAAATGGAGAAAAATGTTAAAAAGCAAACCTAAATCATAGTAAGGTACAAATAAGATTTTTCGTAAGCAAGCACGTTGAAGGATGATTTTGGTATAAACCGGTGGTCTCTTGTTTATTGTTTGCGTTTTCTTGTGTGTCTCTCTATAGTGCTTTGCATATCAAGTATTCTCTGACCATCATTGGCAACATGTGATCATTGTTTCGTGATCAGCTAATCTCAATCACTATATAGGTAGCTCAGTGTGGTTATATCAGTTCCTCAGTATTAGTCAGTCAGTGTGTTGTTCGGGTATCCACTGTTGTTGTTGTGTACGAGCCATCATCGGCATCATTCGTCACTTAACCGTCAGTGTATCTTAACTAGGGTTTGCACGGGATCCCGAGATTACAGTTCTGATTCCGATCCCGGGATTTCGGGATTTGATAAAACGGGTCAGTTTGCGTGAATTTTGATGGTATGCCCATCTTGAAGCAAGCCTTAATCATTCCCGTCTAATTTATATGCAGTTATCTTTGATGTCTGCCCCTATCACTGATGTTCAGCTAAGGAAATAGACGCAATTCGGACGACTGACATGATCAACGACAGCTCGATGAACTTTTACGTAACATTTTATTGAATATTCAACTGATTGTTCTGCTCTTCATTGGTTTATATCACGCTCATCTGGATGCATTTCTATGTAACAGACTAACAGAGATAATCATATTTTCTAATAAAAACAAAGGGCAACAAAGTTTAATGAAATCTTGAGTCGTTTCCTCCCACAAGATTTGTTCGGCTTCAATATTCCATCTGTTAATTCAACTGCATGTTCCAAAGATTGCAGGTCTTTTTACTTCGCTATTTGGAAATGTTTTCATCCGATCGAAATGTACTTAATTCTCACTGAGTTTACTCATAGCGAAAATTCATTGCCGAAGTGAGCAAAGTTGTTCCATTCAAAAGGACCATAAGCTTGAATATCAAGTACATTTGCATGATTTTTGATCGAAATTATCAAACATGTAAGTGCTCGATGGTTCGATGAAAATCCAGTGCAGATGTTTTTTCACTTTTTAGATAAACTCTAAACTTTTAATTTTTCCAAAACTCATGCGATGCATTTTTTTGTAAAAAATCGAAATTTCCGAAATGGAAGAATTCAGTTAATGTTAATGCTGAGAGAAAATGGAGCTAAAGCATTGCAAATAAGTGTTTGAGAATCAAGAATTTCATATTCACATCCAAGTGTACTGTTGTTACCTTAGACCCGAGATGACAAGATGCCTTACAATAGAATATGCAATTGTTAGCATAGAATTGTTAGCATAGAATATGCAATATGCCCTTGCAGCATGATCATTGACATCATTTTATGAAATATTAATTTGAATTTGAATGCTTAGTTCCTCGGATTTGCTCAATAATTTGTTAAATTAGCTCCTTTTTGATTAATAATGAACTTATTGGTTCGAAAAAAATGTGTTTAAACATGTCCCGCATCGATATTTCAATAATTGTTCGATCCCAGGATTATCCCGAGATCAAAAATCGATCCCGAGATTGAAAAATCGTCAGGATTTTGCAAACCCTAATCTTCACTTTACCAAATCATTATTATCGTATTTATTTATCGTGTGGATAAATCATATTATTAATTGTCGCCTTCGCACCAGCACCACAGTCAACATCACAAACAGTGCCGATCAGGAACCCAAACAGTGCCGATCAGGAACACAATCAGTGGCGGTCAGGATTCAGAACTTATTCGGCGCTCAACAATCTCAATTCTCAACAAGTTCAACTCTCTGCGTTTCTTCAATCAACACTCAACTGTTCGTAAATGTCATCTATTCCTGCATTTCCTACATTCGATCCGGATTCCGAAAAGTGGCATCACTATCGCCAAAGGCTGAACTTCCACTATGAAGCCTACGACGTAAAGCCAGAAAAGCGTAAACCTTATTTTCTAACATGGATTGGAACGCGCAGTTACGCATTACTGGAAACGCTCGTCTCCCCTAAAGAGCTTTCCGATCCTTCTACCACTTACATTGATCTCATCTCATTACTGGATCAACGGTATGACGACACGCGCAATATTCTTTCTGCAACATGCGATTTATATCCCTGCTTCCGTCAAGATGGCGAATGTGTCTCAGAATACATCACTCGTCTCAGAAACAAGGCAAAATCATGTGGCTTCACGACATCAATACTAAGAAACAATCCGTTGGAACGCAGTATGCTAGTGATTGGTATTAAAGATTCCCGAATCCGGCAGCTTTTATTGAAAGAAGGCGTATAGTGAAAGCGGGGTTTCACTTCTATCGTAGTTGAGCAGAGCGTTTATAGCGTACGTAACATTTACTGGTACACACATCAACAATGAACAGAACAGAATTATGTATCAAAAATATAAGTGAGATTGAAGTGTGATAAGGTGAGATGATGTTATAAGAAATGACGTGATGTTTATTACAAAGGGCAATATGTTTCGATTTATTTAAAAATAAGATATAATAATTTGATAAAGAATAAATATTGCATATCGAAGATGAATCACAAAATTTTGTGAATATCTCTTTTCACGACACTCGCGAGCCTGAAAACAGTATCACTTATCACGATTGTCGAGAGCGTCGTCCTTCTCGATTACCAGTGTCGTGGGTACCATTGATGGACAGTATCTCACTCTCCAAGTTTGATTGCTTGAATTCTGGCACCGCTGGAAATGCTGAAAATGCTGAAACTGGTTTAGTGGTGCTGATTGATTTGGTTCGGAATGACGATGGGGATTTCGGGGTGATTGTTTTCTTCGGCAGCATGGCGGGAATCGTGATATGTCGATCGATTATTGCGTTGTAACGACCATGAAACTTGTAGTAGCAAAGACTGCGATTGGATGGAGGTGTCCATATAATAGTTTCATGTGATGTAATACATTCTCCTTTTGCGATGTTGCATCCAGCCATTCTGCTGAAGGTGTCGAATAATTTGATCTGACCGATTTCAAGGCGATAATTAATGGTAGAAATACAACGTGTACCAAAGAATCCAAAGCTGTACGTTGAAGGATTGTTCGATCTCCACGTGTAGTTGTCGATGTTTATCAACGATATGTCGTTGAGTTTCTTTTGCATGGTTAGCAAGCGACAATCACTGACGTTCATACTTCCATACGAAAGTCGATCGTTGCTGACACTAAGTTTCCATCGCAAAAATGAATTTGTGCATACTTCTCGTACGATTTTTGTGCAGTATGATCCGCTAACTTCTGCAAACGATCGAGTGTATACATCGAGAAATCGGCGTTTTGGTTGAAGTCGATCGCTAATGCTACAATTCAAACGTGGAGGGAGTGCTACAAATATACCATGCGAGTTCGATGGACAAATCTGGTATGCAGTCGTAAATGAGATGGTGAGTAGTAGTGCGAGGAACGATGCTAATCGCGGTATTGTTCGTGAACGTAGTACAAGAGGTGAATTGTCGCATTGGACCGATTGTTCAGGCTCGGTGTGCTTGTATTGTTTATCTTGTTGATGCTACGACGTTAGTGTATCTGATTTTGCTTGCATCTCAAGTGGATAGAGGAGACTGATAGAATGGGTGACTTTGCGGGAATTTGCAAGTTGTATTGTTGCCGAACGTATGGTTCCATCTGAGCTGGGTAGTAGCTGGATAATTGTTCCAAGAGCCCAAGTGACATGGGGTTGATGTTCTTCTCGTATAATTACCACTTCATCGATTAGTAGGATTCTGTCTGTTAATAATCGTCCTTGTTTATGTTTTCGTTTGGTACGTTCTCGTAGAACATTGAGATATTGCGTGGACCATTCGTTCAAAAAGGTGTCTAGTTTCGTCAGTGAAGAGCGCCACATCTAAAGAAGCTTTTCTCTCAGGCTTGCATTATCACTATAGTAAACTGATTCATTGTGGGACTGCGGATCACTTTGTATGCTATTTTGAGGTTGCAAAAGATCAATCGGTTTTATAATCGTAATGGGTTCTTCAGATACATATGTTAACGGACGGCAGTTCACAATGCGTTTGATTTCGGCAGTAAAAGTTTGCAGTTCGTCGGTGTTGATGAATTTTCGTTCAATGGCCTTCTTCAACGAATTTTTTGTGAAACCAATCATTCTTTCATAGAATCCTCCTTGCCAAGGAGCGTACGCTGGAATAAATTTCCATTCAATGTTATGTTCAGGAGCATAAGCTTCTCTGATCGGTTGAGAGGCACAAGATAAGTTGGTGCCATTATCGGATATTATCTCATCTGGTGCTCCATATGCAGCAACAAATCTTCGGAAGACGTTCAAGAACGAGTTTGCGGAGAGACTTTCTGTGACTTCGAGGTGGACGACGCGTGTAGTTAAACAAGTGAAGAGTGTGATCCAGCGTTGAACTTTTAAACCATCTGTGTCTTTGACATTGATAGGGCCTATCAGATCGATTCCGACGTGACTGAAGGGGCGAGTTTCAGTGAAGCGACTTTGGGGATAGTTTGGCATCGAGGGAAGTTGGAATGGTTTAGCGGACCATTTGCGGCATACCATGCATGAATGTAGAACGCTTCTCACCGTAGAGCGCCCTTTAGGGATCCAATATTGTTCGCGAAGCTTCGTGAGAGTGCTATTAATACCAGAATGACACAAGTCTTGATGTGTCTTCATTATCAATAATCGATTTCCAAGCGTTTCCGAGGTAAAAAGCCTAGATTCGATGGCAAACGTCCACCACATCGCCATATTTGCTGTTTATCGAGATGTAATTCCCATTTTTCGATATCGGTTTTATCGATGCAGCTTTGTGTTTGACGAAGTAAAACAGTTTCTGCAAGTGCGAGATCGTTTGCTGTAAATGAAGTGTTGGATGAGGATACATTGGACAGCCATGAAGCCTGAGCGGGAGCGAGTTTCTTGATGAAGCGGAGGATGTAAGCTGTGGTTCGACGTAGTTTGCTCCAGTTGTTAAATCGTTGAGTGTCAATGAAATTAATAGGCGGTGGGGTGATCAATACTTGAGCTGTAAATGATGCGCTGTTGGGAAATTGTTCGTGTTTGTCGTCATCATCAATATCTTGGGTATCGCAATAAGCACTTTTGGGCCAGAAAGGTTTATCTTGACTTAACCATGCTGGTCCTGACCACCACAAAGTTGCTGTTACCAGTTCCATCGGAGTTAAGCCTCACGTGGCTATATCTGCTGGGTTGTCGTGTGATGGTACGTATCGCATTTCGAGGTCTTTAATCTCTTGTATTGCTTCAACGCGGTTCTTATGAAAACGTGGTTGTTTGGAAGGATCAGCTTTCGTTCAACATAGAACACACTTAGAATCGGTCCACAAAAACTTGAGTGAGGATTCTAAATGCAGTTCTTTCACAACGTATTGTATTAATTTCGCTCCAATGAATGCTGCTATTAGTTCGAGTTTGGGGATGGTGATCGATTTGGTAGGAGCAAGACGACACTTAGCGCAGTTGATTGAGACAGCTGCATCCGATTGATTAATGTCATGAAGCCAGAGGAATCGAGTGACATCTCTGTGATTTTCATTGAGCCCGATTTGCAAAAAGGCTTTTTCCACATGAGCAATGAGGACCTTTGCTTTTGATCGAAAGCGAAGT